TTTCTCAAGTCTGTTACACTCTCCAGCTCCTCCTCTCTCCTCTGATGACTAATTCCTATAAACAGATGAGACCTGAAGCTATCACCAGCATGTCTCTACCCATGTTCTGCCTTCTATCCCCTTCTATAATAGCATGCTCTACTAGTAAGGCAGATACAAAGCTAGATCAAGGTCTTGCAAACTACAAGGCCCGCCACCTGCATGGTGCCTGCGGCTCCTTTCACAAGCTCCAGAAGAGCAAACTCTGTCACTGGACAAAGACTGTGAGCTCACTCTACCTGCACCACTTACAATTTAGCTCTTCAAAGCACACTGGCTACATGACCTACTAAATTCACACTCACGGGACATGTACAACACACCAGGGTTACAACAGACAGACTGATGACAAACCAAAAAAATCTTAAGACCATATCACATGTAAAGGAAGAAAACTCTTCCTTTATTAAAACTTTTCATCAACTCAAAGGTAGGAAATCATACAGCAATCCCTTCTATTTCACAGTGTTCCCTTCTATTTCAAGGAAAAATTATCTTAATTCGGAATCTAGCCCAGACAGTGATCAAGGCAGAAAAAAAGTATTTTCAGCAACATCAACAATTCAAAAAGTTTACCCTACCACACATATTTTGCTTGTTATAAAACAGTCTTACACTTTGGCCCAGACCAGTTTAGAACTCCTAGCAATCCTTCTGCCTCAGTTTTCAAGCACTGGGATTCTGAGTGTGAGCCGTCTTTAAGTCAGTCAATAAGAGATACAACTCACTGAAACAAGAAAGTAAACTGAGTTTAGCGAGCACAGGCTCCACAGGAAGAGCACACGTGTCAGGAGCAAGGTGATGGGAGGCCAGGCTCAAGCTGTGCGTCCCAGTGCTAAGCAACACTGCAGACTGAACAAAAGCAGAGCCTTCTTAGCTGTCCCCAGTTTTTAACAAGTCTGAATCCTATCACCTATGTATCTGTAGATTTGGACAGACTAGAGAAAAAACTAAAGACACATAAGAGAGTAAGGAAAAATACAAAAGAAAACAATCTAACGCCAAGAAATTCAATCATAGCACACTTCAAGGTTCAACTGTTAAACATACTTACAGAAACATAATAATGTAAACAATGAACTTGTAATCAAAACCATGATATCACTATACACCGAAGACAATAAAGTTCAAGGTAGCACAGGAATCTTAAAGCAAAATCACTGTAAAAAAAATCTGAAGTTGAAAAACAAAACTGCAGAACCAAGTACTCATGCCAGAAGAAAGAAAAATAGACACACAGGATCAGCTAATATGGCTAGGGTTAGGGATCAGAAACAGGACCTAGGAAGAAAGCCATGAAGAGATGAGTGAGTCTGGTAATGTCACTTCCTACATGTACACTGTATTAGTTAAAGTACAAATTTTAACAAAAAAAGAAAGTGGTTATATCACTTAATACCATTACTTCACTCTCTGGCCAATAACTGAATACTTTTAAAGTGTCAGGGACTTTTCTAAAAGAGGGAAGGAGGAGGGGAGGGGAAGGTAGAAAAGGAGAGGGAAGAGGTTGATGATTAAAACCCATCTGGAATATTTAAAATGAGTTCTTGAGTAAAACGTGGAAAGCAAAGAAACTAAAACTATAAAGCATGGAAAAGGAAAGAGTGCAGATTAATTAAAAACCAGTGGAATTTTATCATATCCAATCTTCATTCTCTCACTAAGGAGAAACTAATGGGAATTTAAACCACACTTAAGGAAGTAATTATAGGGTAACACAATAAACTCCTTTCCAAGGGACGGCTAACACTATGATAACTTCAAGCCATTTGAATTACATTTTTATTGAAAACTAAGTAACTAATAAAGTATGGAATCCAGAAAGAAATAACTATTTCAAAAAACAAACATTAGGGGGCTGGAGAGGTGGCTCAGCAGTTAAGTGCACTGACTGCTCTTCCCTAGGACCCGGGTTCAATTCCCAGCACCCACATGGCAGCTCACAACTGTCTGAAGATCCAGTTCCAGGGTATCTGACACCTTCACACCAATGCACATAAAATAAAGTTAAATAAACCTTAAAAAAAAATTTAAAAAAAAACAAAACAAAAAACAAACATTAGATAACAAAAAAACTTGTATTCAAAACAGGATCCCCTTTTATGCATTTTATTCTCAAAAGTTTGCATATGTTCATTTTAAATACCAAATGAAAGCAATATTTCCAAAGAAAACAGCCAATTTCAATAGATTAACATTTAAAATCTTAGAGACGGGAAATGGTGGCACACAACTTTAATCCTGCACTCTGGCAGATGTCTGAGTTCGAGGCCAGCCTGGTCTACATATAGAGTTCCAGGACAACCAAAGCTACACAGAGAAACCCTGTCTCAAACAAAAACAAAACAAAAAACAAAAAGCTTTCTGGAGACCAGTCCACTAAGTTCAGGTGTATATCTTCCCAAAAACTCTCCAATCTGGAGGTGGTGGAACATCACACTCAGGTAAGAGCTACCATCTGGATTTGGGGGTCACTGAATGTTTACTGGTGGCTCATTTCCCACACTGAAATGGAGAGAATAATGCCTACATAAGGTAGAGGTTAGTTACTGATAGTCCTAAGAAGTAACAACATATTTATCAATTCTTTTAAAGCTTTGGAATCTACAATGATCTACACCAACGTGTGTCACACTGACTATTAATCACATCATAAAACGATCACTTCTCATCAGATTTTCACTTAGCAGACTTTTCTTTTAGCAACCAAAGAACGATAGAGAGCTGTTTCACTGGGGTGAGGGGAAGGCTTTACTTTTCTTAAAGACTCGTATAAACAAATACCGAGAGAATATCAGCAAACACTTCATTTAGTTATATAAACCAAAAGTACAATGTTTTCACCACATATAAACCACACACCCTCTGACTCCAGGTAGAGTATATATTTTGAGTATGTCTGGATACCAGATACCCAGTGTGTATAAACAGAAGCATAGTTTAAGAAAATCGTCTTGATGCTTTTGTTCACCAGCAGCTCCTTCTATTCTCAGAAGGAAAAATGCAAACAATACCCCAACTCACAGGCACCCTGAGAATTTCCAACTAACAACCCAGGCATCACTTTATCTCCATCAAGGCACATACCTACTTTACTCTGCTGAGTCCCCTCCACATCTATCAGACTGCAGCACCAACCATGTACTCAATGTGTGTAGAATAAACTAGCCTCTGGACAAAGGCTTGAAAGTAGCCTGGCCTGGAGGTACACGCTTTTAATCCTAGCACTCTGAAGGTATAGGCAGGCATTTCTCAGTGAGTTAGAGGCCAGCCTGGTCTTCTAGGACTGTGAGAACTGCATAATGAGACCCTGTCTCATTTTTAAAAAAAAAAAAGGAAAGAAAAGAAGGTTCAAATTGTAATCAAATTAATTTCACCAACAAAGCCATCTTTCACTGCTCACAACCACTATCCCAATTGTAAAGACATAATAAACTAAAAAAAAGATATGCTAGTATTTAAATGTATACAAACTGCATTACTCACGCATATCTGATTCACAGCTGACTTTTAAACAGAATTTTTCTCAGAATTTTTGGGTGTATCCTTCCCGACACTGTAGTATCATAAAAGTATACTGTGATCCTTGACAAACAGATCTTTCAACTTCTGCTGCAATCTGGTGTAAAAACACAAGATCAACAGTATTTCTGAAAACAGTGAAGTTCCTACAACCAGGGAAAGGTCGGATATAATGAGATGGGGGAGGAAGGCGGGTCTGAGTATTTAAAAATGACTATGCCAGAATTTAAAGCTTAAAACAACTACACTTAAGTTATTCCAGGGAACGCTAATAAACACATTTAACCTACAAGATGTGGCTAATTTTCCACATTTCGAAGCTTCATGATTACACATGTTCACTAGAAGTTATTATTATCAAAACAATACTGTTTGGTTATAAATCCCACTTCAGCAATAATCGCACTAACACTTACTACATTTCTGATGCCACAGCCGGAGCAGTCATATCTGGGTGGGACAAGCCTTTTTAGTTTGCAAGTTACCAACTGTGACACTGCGGTACTCCTGCATGCAAGGAATGAAAAGTTCTTCGAGATTCTTTCTCATGGTCATCTTCAAAGACACCATGAACTCGAGTCCCCCCGGATGGTACACATTAAACAAACAAACACCAAAGTCAACTCATAAATACACGCTGTGCAGAAACAACTACAGCTATTTAAGTGTTACGAGAGAAAAAAAATACAGAACACCTACAGGGAAAGGTTCAATTAACTGCCGCCCGTGTTTTCATCCTCGGATCTTAAACAATAGGCACTGGATGCTTCTGTGGAGCGCTTTCTGCAGAGGGATTTCGGGTTGCAAACGCCCCTCCTCCACTGCAAGCATCAGAGCCCTTTCTTCCTCCTCCCTCACCCCTCCCAACTCAAACCAATTAACATTCGTACTAAGGTACCTCCTATCAGCTCGCAGCTTCTTCCCAAACACGCCCACGCACCCTGAAACCCGCCTGCGTCTACACCGCACACGGCGGCAGGAAAAGCGCTTCGAGGGGGGCGGGGAGCCGCGGCAGAGCACAGGTCCGGGCTCCCTTCCAGGTCAGCTCCATCACCTCCCAAGCCCGGTGTTTACGAGCCCGCCGAAGCCCACGCTGCAAAGGAATTCCGGCCGCTGCGGGCAGATTGCGCGGCGGTGCGGGAGGCCCCCCCCACTCCGTGTCCGCGCGCGGCCTCGGCGGCGCCGCTCACCCCGCGCTCCGCGGGCGGTTCGGCCCCGCAACAGGTCACTCCGCCTCGCTCCGCTGCGGGGTGCAGGCACCCGGCCCGGGAGGGGGTGTGCCGTCCGGCTCACCTGCGAGGCTGAGGCGACGCCGGGGCCTCCGCCACCGCGGGACCGTGAGCGCCCCGCAGTCCGCCCTCCCTCCCGTGCCGCGCACCGCGGCCGTCGCCATTGCCCGCGCCTCCCCGCCCGCCCACCCGCCAGCCAGCCACGCCGACCTGTGTAGCCGCGGCCGTCGCCTCCGCTTCGCCCGCAGCTCCGAGGCAGCGCTCGCCCAGCCGAGCAGTCGGCGTCTCTCATTCAGTGCCCGCCGCCGGCGCTCGGGGGAGGGGAGTGCGCCGGATCCACCCCGGCCGCGCAGGGGGCGCGCGCCGGGCGGGCGGGGCGGAGCGGCGCGGCGCGCGCACCAACTGAGCGCGCTCGCGCGGCCGGGGAGCTCCGGGTCGCCGGGGTCTCGGCGCGCGCCGCGGACTCCCGGCTGCTGCCCGCCGAGCCCAACCGCCGCCCGTACCGGTGTCCGCGGGGCGCGCGCCGTAGCCGCAGCCGCAGCGCGGGGCCGCAGGGAAGAGCCGCAGGGCTCAGGGCAGACAGGTGGGGCCCCACGGCCGCTCGTGCACGGGGTCTCGGGGGGCGCTCGCGATGCGGGGCGCAGCTCACCTTGAAGGCCAGAGAACAAAAGTCAGCCCCGGGATCAAATACCCAGCCCACGCAGGCGGCGCCCTCAGTTGTCGTGGCGGACAAATGAAGGGGCTGCAGATGGGAAGAGTCACCCCCACAGCGATGGGATCGTAAATGATGGAGTCAGGGCACTCACACATTAACATGCCGGAAGTGTTGGGTAGGCCCCTGTAGGTTTTAAGCAGGGTGACTGTCCTTGGTTTAATGAACAAATAATCGAAATTTGGAATATCCGCCCCCCCCCCCCCCCCGCCGTCCCAGACTGGAGTTGCAGGAACGTGATTCTAAAATGTGAATTTTTTTCTGCGAATGAAAGGGGATGGAAGGGTGTTGTTTCTCAGGGTGCACCTAGGTGGCCTACATAAAATTTGATGCAGTGTGACTTAGTGGAAGGTTTTCTGTGAGCCACCTAGGTGTATCATTCGGGAGTGATGCAGTCCTCTTCGAGGCAATGTGCAATAGAATGCGGAGGGACAATTCTACAGCAGCACTGTAGACTGTGAAGTGACCAAATGTTGCATTTGATTTCTTTCCTCCATATAATAACTAAAGCAGAACGGATTGCTCTGTTGTGCAGAAGAAAGCTAGCAACTGTACCCTTGGACTGGCTTCTGTCAGCGTCTCTCGAGTTGGAGACGGTCGAATGCTCCTTTATCACCTTGGTCAACTCACCCCCATGCAAGAGTAGGAGTAAGAAACAACGCAAGAAAAAGCAATAAAGCCCAGTGTTGGATTTTATTCTATTTTACTTTGAAAGTCTCTCCAAAAGTGATGGAGTCACTAAGAAGTACAGAAACCAAAGAAGAAGATAAAAGCTGTCTGAAAATTTCAACTGAGAATAGACAGATGATTGTCGCAAAGGCTTCACGTGTGTAAAGCAGTTTTCCCCAGGTACTATTTCTTCAAGTCCCAAAAGAAACAATAGGCAAACCGAAATAACAGTTGTGGGGGGGACCTTTATTATTGCGTAAATGTTTGATCTTTTTTCCTAGTTAGGAGGAGATTAAGAAAAAAGTGGTCGGCTGTGCCAACAATAGTACATACAATTTTATATATGCACACACCATTGTCCCAAGTTATTAACTGCTTTTAAAATAGCAAACTGAGGGAAATCAGGGAATTCCATTCGCCATAAATGTCTTGCAGTTACTTTAAACTTGAACTGGGGCTTCATCTGCCAATAATTTTCACAGTTTACTGTAAAGGCAATGGCCCAGACTTTGAGAAAGCCTAGGAGTTCATCATAGATTCCTATGCTTACAGAGTGTCTGAATTTGCAGTAATCACTCAAAACGTGTTGCTCATGTTGACAACCTGCAAAAACTACACTTTATGAACCTTAAGAGTTGAAATTTTTCTGAACTTTCCTCCCACCCACCTCCCCCCAAAAAAAGGTTTCAAGAAGCTGGAAAGATGAGTAAGGAGGCAGAGGCACTGCTAACCTTGCAGGCCTGGGGACCTGAGTTCAGTCCCTGGGTGGCAAGGAAGGGGCAGAAAGGACTCCTGCAGGGAAATGGAAGGGGAAAAGGGAGACTCTTGGCCGTGCATCTGAGAGACCATGACTCAACCAGGTGGAAGGTAAGAGCTGCCCTCTGCCCACAAGCTATGACCTGGGCGCCCACATGTGCACCCCCAAAAGAAAAAAGAAAAAAAAGAAAAAGGTGGGTTTGGCACTGGCTCTGTAATCCCAGGGCTCAGGTGGCTGAGGTGGGACGGTGGCTTCAATTCCAGGCCAGCCTGGGCTACAGTCTAAGACTCTGACTCCAAAAGCCAAAAAAGGTAGAAAAAAGCTTATCCTTTATGTTTTTGTTGTTGTTTCAAAGTCTGTTCCCCATCCATTTATATGTAAATAAAGCAGTGGCGACTTGCAACACATTTTCTTTACCAGAGCACTGTTTTTTATAGTTCTGTAAGTTGCTTTATGAGTTCCATTTGCTTTTGCCAAAAGAGGAAATCTGCACAGTCTTAAAACAAAAATGCTAATGGATACAACAGAAATGCTATTATATAAAATAGAAATCGATAAGAATTCAATACGCTTAAAAGTCATTTCGGGGGAGTCACCACTGTGTAACAGTTTTTATTACTGTGCATTATGTTGCTTCCAAGGGGCAAGCCAAGGGACCCATTTAGATGGAGAATGAGCTCTTCAAAGGCAAGACACCACTAGGGCAAAAACCAAATCAACAAACAATTCATCTCACTGTCAAAACCAAAATCAGGCAGGCATCTTGAAGGAACATGTCAGTTGTGTTTCCAACATTCTGATCTAAAATATAGGCAGAACAGAATATTCGAACTTCCCCGTGAGGGAACAGACATGAGAAAGGACTTTGAAGAGGTAGTTGTTCCACAGAAAACGGCTGCAGAGTTCTGAAGAGAGTCTGCTAGACTCTAGTGGAGAAAGACATGGCATAGAGTCAGGGTACTAAGGACAGTGCTGAACAGAGCATTCAAATCTGAGTGCCTTATTAAGTAATTTACAATTATGCCGTTCCTTCCACGAGCAGTTGTATATCAGGCATGCATTAGCAGGCATTTGTTTACGTAATGATTAATATTTCCCTGGAATTCCCTTGGGGGCAAGTTTATGTATAGATAAATGTTTGTGTTTTACAATTTCTCAATATTAGAGGCAGTTTCAGCAATGCCTCCTTTATCTGACATGGTTATGAGAGGAGTCACTGAAGGTTGGTCATAATTAGTTATTCTACATAAACTGGGTTTTCATCTTGAAGTACTAGAAACGACTTAAACCATTTTCATTGATTTTTTTTCCTTTGAAATTTCACCACATTTTGCTTTAAATTAATACAATACAGCTTACAACTCAGAAGTTTATAGTGCTTGCCTAGTGTCTTCAGAGGCCTGGGTTTGGTCTACGGTATCACAAGAAAACAGAACACAGTGTAGTTGAACCTTTTCCCGGTGACCCAGTCAGTGGTAATGTGGTTAAAATCAAAAACTGTGATTCAAGATGCCCTCAGGAACTTATAATGCTTATTCTCGTAACCATTCAGAAGGCAGTCTTGGCCTACTCTGTTCCTGTAGTCTCTCACAGGTCTGACACTGAGACCTGTGTTTCCACTCTGCTGTCCTGTCCCTACCACGATAGCACTGCCTTGCTACAGCTGTGTACACACACACACACACACACACACACCCTGAACTGCCTGACAGCAGTTAGAGTAGCCTGGGAAGCACAACACAAATGCTACAACAGCTTTGACTTTGGGACCATTTATGTAACAGAAAATCTTTTTGTCTATGTTTACGTCTTCCTCTAAGTTTGAATAGTTGCGTTTATCTGATAGCTTTTTTCCCAAGTAAGTGAATTGTGTTCAAGTTCCTTTGTGAGAAATTTAAGCATAACTTTTCAGATATAATGGAAAGAAAGGTTCCTTGTCCAATTCCACATCAGTTTCCTTTTTAAATATCAAATAGGTTCAAGTTTTTAAAAGCAAGTCATAAATTCATACTAAAATCGATTGGTTAAGGATATAGCATGAGGCCTTGAGTTTCTCCCCCATCACTGATAAAACTGCTGATAAGTAGGGATAGAAACAAATATTAATATGGTAGAATGTAAAGTGGGAAAATCACTATGTAATGAGTGGTAAAGATAGGGGAGAACCATTGGTGGGTATTTAGATTACAGAAGATATGACTCTCTGGAGACGTGACATCTAAGTGGGGAAGTAACAGCTCAGTCTCCAGTGAGCAAAGTTTGATTTTGTTTTTTCAAGGGGCCCAGGTGGATAGTCTTTGGGGATACTACTGTCGTAAAAGACAAAGCTCTAACAATATTAGAGTGGAAGAGAGGTGATACTAAGTCTTACGTGAGAGACTGGACTGGATCTTTCCCAATGGGAGTGGAAAATGAAGGGCATTAGTGGGTTAATGGAGAAACTAATTGTAGCTGCATTGAGGTGTTCATGTTAAAATCGCTGACATTAGTAACTAATGTGGTTCCATCCTTAAGAACTACACACTGAAGTATTTAGGAGTAAAGATCCAAGGGATGTATATGATTTAAGAAATACAGTAGGTAGGTCTATTTTTATTATTTATGTAAATATAGATGTAATGATAAAATGTTAACAGCGGATGATTAGGCAAAGAGTGGGCATTTGCAATCTTTCTGTAAATTCAGAATTATTTCCAATAAAAAGTCTTTTAATTTTGGTTTTGTTTTTTCTGAGACAGTCTCACGTAGTCCAGACTGACTTCAAACTTACTACATTTCAAAGAACAAACTTGAATTCCTGACCATCCTGCGTCCACGTCCCAAGTTCTGGGATGACAGACCTGTGCCAGCGCACGCTGCTCAACGTGAAAAGTTATCTTTTGAGTCCTGTGTGGGCACAGGTCTGTCATCCCAGCACCTGGGAGGAAGGCGGTATTTCCAACTGATCGCTTTGCTTTAGGTAACTGTCACATATCCTTTCTACGTCAGTTCCAATAAAAAATAAAAAAAAAAAAGTTGTTTTAGTTTGTTTGTTTGTTTGGAGACAGTTTCTCTATTTAACAGCCCTAGCTGTCCTGGAACTTGCTCTATAGATCAGGCTGGTCTCCAATTCAGAGATCTGCATTTAATTACATTTATTTTTTGTGCATTTATATCTGTCTGTATGTGCATGTGTGTGTCACAGCACTTATGTGA